TTTTTTTTTGCAATTAAATACTTGGATTGATATTAATAAAACCAGGCTGACTGACTGAATAAATTTGAAATGAATGAACTTATGAATCTCATTCTGATATGTTTTCTGTAAAATTCATTTACAAAACAGACATACATAATTTCTATTTTTAGTTTTTCCCCTTTTCCCGAGTACTATGGAAAGAAGGTTTATAGAACTCTTATCTTCTCTAATTTGGAAATGTCCAAAATAATAATAAGTATTATTATTATTAAAAGAATGATTCTATTTATTCATAAGTAAAGTTTTATTCATACTTTAAGGATCTATAGCAAACACTTGTCATTTAACAAACAATTTCTCCAGTTTCTTCAATTTTCTGCAGAATCCAATGTAAATTAACCTGTCTAATACAAAAAATGGAAAGAAAAATCAGTATCCCCTGCCATGCTAAATGGTGTGCAATCAGAATGCACATTTTAGGAGAGAAGGAAAGTTCTTTGCTATGAGTCATGTCTGTAACATATGGCTTTGTAGCCTTTAGTCATGTATAGTAGGAACAACAAGAGATTAGACTTGGTCAATACTAACTTCTCTACTTTAGGGGAGATAGGTTGACAGGATGGGATAATTCTGTGGTATTGAATACAATCTATTTTGGGGTCATGTGGTGCTTTGTGAAGTACATCATACAGCTGCTTCATTTGTCCAGTACAATGGTTCGCAAACTTATTATGCCCTTCTCATAACAAAAATTTGACAATGAAAACCCAAGTGAAATAACTCTACACAACTACATAATAGCAAAATTACAAATTATGTTTTTTTAATTTTATCTATTGAATTTTCATAGAAAAACACATTTTTGATCAAAATAAATGAATTACTTATATATTTTTAGTCATTAAATAGTTTTTTTTATAATTATGAAAAACAACCATTATTGGTTGTTGTTAATAAATTATCATTGTTTTCAAAAGAAAAATTAACTAAATGTATAAAATTCTATATAAACAAACAAAATAAATTCTAAAATGTCATAATGTATGCAATAAATGAAACACAGAGCCCATTTTCAAAATGGACAAGCTTTAGCTAGTATTACCACCATGCAATATTTGTTATTACTTGTATTTTATGTACCATATTTATCTATATTTATATCTTACTCAGGGCATAAAAATGAGTAATTTTGCACATGCATCTCCCTTAATATTGTTTTGTATCTCGAATTGCGATCAGTTGATGAAACGAAACTTGTTCCTTTAGAAAACTTCATAAAAATGCTTCCTTTTGAACTTTATTTTTCAAAATGTACAATTACATAAGTTCTAAATTTATCATTTTTTTTAAACATTTTCAATAAAAGTTTATTATTTTTAAATGGAGAATCCAAATATTCTATTTGAAATTTCAAAGTTGCTCCCCACCCCACAGAAAAGAGATAAGCTAAACTTTATTTTTATAGCATTAAAAACACACTCAGAAATATTAAACTTTTATTATCAATTTTCTTTATTAGAATGATATTTTCTGAGTTATTGACTCATAACACCTTACATGGAATACCCAGTATATACTACAGAATGGTTAACCTGACTTGTGAGACCTTATTGACTGTTCATTAATGTCTGCATTATAGAATTCTTTTATATCATGTATAATGGCAACAGCATAATGCATTTTAAATTCTAAATGCCCTTTCTAACTTTCTTTATAACATGGCTCTTCTAAATAATTACTATGAAGTTGTGTCTTTTGGCATGATAAAATTACAGGAAACTGGTAGTCTGGATATCCTTTACAATTAATTACTAATCGATCAATGTTTTTATCTATTAAATAATACATTAGCCTCAATACCAAATAGAACTGAAATTGTATCTGGTGAATTTTTCAATCTAAAGCAATTCCACATAATATCTTTAAGATATTTTACATATTCTATTCAAGGTTTCTTCAGATAAAATTATTTAACCTGTCTCATGTTGTTCCTGAGTACTTTTGTGTTGACCTCATTTGCCTAACCCATTGACCCCAAATATATGTGTTTCTGAATTGGAATGTTTTTGATACCATATGTTGGTGTCATAATTTTTATATTAAAACGAACTTTTTTAATTTTTAACAATACAGTAGCCATGATTATTAAAAAATTCAATATGACAGCCACATGCAACGGAGAAAAATTTCAACACTGGATAGGTTAATATCAGCAACCTACACTCACTGACAAAAAGTTTCACATCCAGACAGAAATGTCCAAATATTGAGAAAAGGCACATCATCAAACTATCCTCAGCTAATAGTGAACATGAAGTTTTTGTTTCAATGGCTAAGTCAGGACACACTTACACGACAACCAAGCTCTGGATACCCAGGCACATCACCAGGAGATTTGCTTGTGTATGCTTCATCTGTCTCTAGATCAGTGTTTCTCAATGGGGGCAATATCGCCTCCATGTGGGCGTTCCATGTTGAGGGGGCAATTAGTAACAATTTATATTTTGGGGGCAAAAAACAATTTTCTGGGCGTTATAGTAAAACATTATATTAAGAATAATTAGATATTTTATTCTTTATATCATATAATAATTAAACAAATAACAATATACTAGTCACTAGTCTATTCAATGTAGTACGAATTTGATGTTAGCCTTGTTCCTCGGCATCGGAATTTTGTAGTGAAGGGGGCGACGATTCGTTAGAGGCTGAGAAACACTGCTCTAGATGGAGACAAAGATATCATTTCAGCTGTTTGTGATTGTTTCATGACTGTGTAAGCATGAAACAATCATAAACAGCTGAAATGAATCTTTGCCTACATCAAGACAGATGCAAATCTGTATTTTCCCATATCGGCGGCAGGCAACGATTAAAGTTTAATCGATAAAAAACAATAAAAACAAATGTATCCTAAATAAAATGAAACTGTATGCTAAGTTTAGTGTAGTAAGAAGTAATTTAACTTCAAACTATGTGGACTTAGTAAATTTATCTTGCACCTGTTTTATTAGAATATTCATAAATAAATAAATATTCTAGACCAAATCAAGTGCTAATACTAAATATTATTTAAACAATTTTGTTGATGACCTCATGTTTTTCACATGAAAATTTTAATTTATTATGTATAGACCAAGCCCAAAATAGTCTAATGATAAAATGATGTGACTGAATTAACTATCAGACTAGGACTTGGCTAATTAATTTCATAAGTACTACATAATTTGGACTAAAGTTGAATGGTTAAGCTACCAGTTGTATTTAATTAAATTATTTTGAAATTCAATTTAGAGAAATACCTTTTTACATTATAAGAATAAAATTGAACAATATAAAGAATTAAGAGATGTTGAATGATCCCAAAATTAATGTTTTCTGCAGATTTGTGCATACATTAAAAAAATTAAATGTTAATAAGATTATTATTACCATGTATTAATTTAATTCAAGTATTTGAAGCAAAATATTTCATCATCTTTCCAGCAGTTTCAAATATTTTCCAAAATTAAAAAAAATTATTCAGGTAAAAAATCTCTTGAAAAACCATATCAAGTTAAACTGATACAGGAGTTTTTGGACATTATTAATTCAGTAATAAATCAATTGCCCTAAAGATTTATACAGTTCAGGCAATTTGCAGTAACTTAAAATTTACCATATACCTGAATATAATGATGGTAGAGAAACTTAATTTGGAGTTTTTTGACTGGTTAATTTAGAAGACCTTAAAATACAATCAATACATTTTCAATCCAGTTCTATAAGGAAACTAAAATTTGTTAATTTGAAAAGTAATCTAGAATCAATTAAATGCAAACAATTATCAGATAATAAAATGCAGAAAAGGAAATAGTGAATACTTGGAATGCCATATTTGAAAAATTCAATTGTTTCAAAAAAGTAACAATGTCTGGTTTGACAGCCTCCTCTTCCTTCTCCACATACACGTACAATACATCTTTATTTTCAAAAATATTAGTATTAGTACTCACTGATAGCCTATGTAATTCTTAGTAAAAGCAAGCAATGTTGTCTAAAATACTACATAGTTTCACTTCCAGATGCTTTGTAAGTTTTGGCATTGTGCATTAGCCAACTGATTAAATTTCAAAACTTATCTCCAAATCATTTTTTTTAAATATACTCAATGCTTCAGTAATTTATACTTCTTTATGTTTGATAATTTTCAGTATTTATTAAAATTTTGCTTTAGCACAACCATATTCAAAAAACTGTTTTTAAATTTTTTGCATAGGGACAAAGTTTTTTTTTTTAAACTCAATTCCTTTTATTTTATGTTCAATACAGCTTATGTAGTAGTTTTTTACCCTAAAAGCCATTCAACAAGCAATATTCTTTCATATATTCATTTCACCAACCCAACATTACACTTTTAAAATAAATATAAGAGAAATCACAATTTTCTTTGGGAATGGATGATTGGTGAGCACTACAATCCTGTCGAGCAGCACACTACCACCTCCTGCTGGCATGCTGATCTAGGAAGCAATTTCATATGACAGTCGGTCACTCCAGTAGTGGTATGAGAAACATCAATAGCACAGCAGTACATTCAGAAAATCCAAAGTCCTCATGACAGGACTACAAACAGCTATTTTCCAACAAGATAATGCTTTGGCTTCACACAGCCAGGATTTCCCAGAAATGTCTCCATTACTTCCTTGGTCTGCCCAGTCTTCAAATTTGTTGCCCATCAAGCATTTGTAAGACCAGATGGAACACCAGCTCTGGCTGTTTATGAGTGTTAGAATCTAAATCAGCAGTTGCACTGCAGAAAAATCTATCACAGGAGAGCATAGTGTCTATATTTGTCCATGCCTAAGTGTGTCACTGCATATATCCAAAGAGAGCCTACAAAGTACTAAATGATCTTTCATGGTGTAATTTTTGTCAATGAATGTATATACTAAATAATTTTTTAAAAACAAATCTAACAATATTTGCTTGTAATTAAAAGAAATAATAATAACAATAACAATAATTCTAAAGTATACCTTCTTCATCTGGAATTTTATGGTTGCTTTAACTTCATCTACTTTTCCCATCATTGATTCATTGTGTGTCAACAAAGTTGGAAATTTTCCTGCTTTGTTAAGACCTGGACCAAGCAATCTAGGGATTTGCTTAATAAGGGATTCAGAAGCCAAAAATGCATCATATTTCTTAGCTATTAAACAAAAATTTTAAATAAATAAATGTAAACTTCTTAATAATCAGTATTATTACTTATGAAAGAATATTCTTACCCAATTTTTTAACAAGTTTTTTATTTTTATTTAGCTTCTTTAAACCTTCTACATCCATGCATGGGATTGAATTAGCTTTAGCTTCATCACAATGCTGTTGATCACCAAGAACACAAACATTAAATTTTGGCCTTGGTATATTCTTTAATCTGATTAAAAAAAAATTTAAATTTAATGGATATAAAAAAACATAATAATAAACTGGTATAGTCTAAATAAAATTAAAACTGTATGCTAAGTTTAGTGTAGTAAGAAGTAATTAACTTCAAACTATGTGGACTTAGTAAATTTATCTTGCACCTGTTTTATTAGAATATTTAAAAATAAATATTCTAGACTAAATCAAGTGCTAATTATTACTTCAGCAATTTGTTGATGACCTCATGTATTTTACATAAAAATTTTAATTTATTACATATAGATCAAGCCCAAAATATTCTAATGATCAAATGACATGGTTGGATTAATTATCAGATAGAACTTCGCTAATTAATTTCATGGATACTATAAGGGTTGTTAAAATAAAAAAGACCAGACTGTATAAAACATATGGTGTCATTGGTCACCATAAAAATTATAGTATAAACACTGCAAAATGGCAAAGTTGCATTAACTGCTATAGGAAATAATCTGTGCTCAGATATGTCCTGACACGGTACAAGCTTGTATATGCTCTCCATGTAGAAAGAAGGTCATTGAATAAATCACTCAGTTACAGCTGTTTGGATCTTGCTGTCAGGCTGTAATCAGCAACCTTCGAGGAACTTTTTGAAGGCCTGAAAACAAGGAAGTTGCAAGGTGTAATGCAGAGATACTGCAGAACTTCCATCTGATTGGCTTTTGTATCGTTAAAAATTATTTCTTTATTTTGCACAAACAAAATAAATATATTTAAAAATATAAAAACAAAAAAAAATTATATTTTGGAAGTTAATCTAGTATCAAAAACGTTCTGATTCAGTATGACAAACAGACAATCCTCAGAAAAACATCACATAAAACAAGCAAAACTCTTTCTTTTTCTTGGGTTTATCTGGAGACATGAGCCGCTTGGGCTATATTCTCTGAGCTTAAGCAAAACACACCACTCATGATGGGGGGAAGCCCCATTCAAATACCGGTGTATCCTTAAGCATCCTCTCGACACGTGTCGCCCTGAACCAGAATGTTTTTGATACTAGATCAACTTCCAAAATATAATTTTTAACAATACAATATGGTTGCGCCAGTGCAGCCAGCTAAAACATGCACACCAACAAAAATAATATTGGAGTAGTCCAAGACATAGCCAAATATTACAGTGCCACAGCTCTAGCAGAAATTTGAATTTGCCGACTGGAATGCTTTCAGTTGATTGGTATTTGGATAATCGATGCTCTACTGTACTTTCAAAGAATATTTTTTAGTTTATTAAATAAATTATAAACAAACCTGCAAACGATTAGAATTTATGATTGAATATCCTGGAATTTCTTTTAAGGTTCAGTTCATTGCTATTTTTTGATATATTCCAGGCTTGCAGAGTTTGAGCTAAATCTGCAAACTTTTAAAATCAAACTGATACCTGGTTAGATTCAATTTCTGACTGTGTGAATTGCAGAGGCAGATTCTAGACCTCTACAACATATATACAAGAAAGACTGGTCATACACAAGGTGTTTAGCCAGCAGAAAAGAGGGTAAGGGAAAGACAAGGGAAAGGAGATAGATAGTAGAGAAAGGTAGGATCCCTCTGAACGGTGTACGTAAGGCAACAGTACCCTCTCTCTGTTCGATGTTGGTGTGCAGTTTTTAGGCTACAAGGCAGTAGACCTCTACCACAGCTTAAAATTTGTTAAAAATCACAAAACTTGCATTTCAAGAATATTTTTTGATGACCTTACTTTAGAAAATGAATAGAAACTGGTTTTTAGACCCTAGACCTGCTCAGTGGCAGATTTAGACCATTTTCTTTCTTTTTGACCTCATTTTGGAAATGGAAATTGCTATTTTGTTTATTCCACTGTTGCTAAGAAAGGAAAGAATACCACAAGAGTTAAATATTTCGTAACTGAATTTAAAACTCCTGGTTAGAATACAGTAGACTCCCCTATAACACTGTTGATAATTATGTGTTATATGAATACCATGTTGTATGATTCACTTAGATTTTACAAATATGTGAGCCGTTCACAGCCCAGCACACGTATTTGTAAAATCTAAGTGACTCGTACAACATTGAATTCATATAACACAAAATTATCAACAGTGTTATAGGAGGGCCTACTGTATAACACATTTTCTAAATCTGGATTCAAGTATATAAATAAAATTGGTAGTTGTTTATAAAATTGAATACAAAATTAAACATTTGAGAGAAAACATAAATTTGTAATTGTGGAATAACAGTTATTGGTTGTTTGACAATTCAAAAAGGACAAAAAGTTGGATTAAGGATGTTTTTCTTGAGAAATAGCTTTAAAACAACTTATATATTAATTGAAAGAGGTATCCATTTGTCCAATTTAGTTTGAGTATATGGCTTGGGTAAAAATGTGTTTTAGGTATCAAATTAAAGCACTTTGTAGATGCTGCTGCTGAACAGAGATTTGAGAAAAGTGCAATGGCTCAGGTGTGGCAGAGTGCTAAATCACCACAGACTTAAGATTTAGCAATCTAGTTTTTTTTTATTTAAATCTGTTATCCATTGCACTATTGCCATTCTGAATCCCTACATTTTTTTTTGCTAATTATGCATTAATTAAAAGACTTTTCTGCATTATTTTTTTAACATTATTAATAAATTTGAACACTTACACTTATCTATTTAAATAATAAAACAAAATTTAGAATCGTATATTTAAATGTTTTTGATCTACACATTAGATCCTCTCAGGATTCTCTAAATTGGAATGCAGAAATGGAACGTTTTAAAGAATTATTTGAAAAAACACATAAATGAGAATTTTTTAATTAAAAGAATTCTCTCAAAAATTTTTCTTTTAAAATAATTTAAATCTCTTCAAAATAATTTTTTAAATCAAACTTTTCCCTTTGGTATAAGGATTGCCAGGCATAAGATAATTGCCTTTCCTCTTTGAAATTAATGCAACAGCCACTTTTTTCAGATTTGAATATTTCAAGAGCTTCCAGTGTCCTTATTTGGGTCATTATGCTTACCCTGTATTCACCAATGCAAGTTAGAGTTAACTCCCAAGTTATTGGTAAACTGGTATTCACCAACTACAAATCTCGAGTCAAACATAATGACCCTAACTCTAACTCTAGAAAATCGGCGAGTAGATGATAACTCTAGGTTTGACGCCTGCGCAAAGCAGTCTATTTCATGGAAAAATGGCGACATTCGACAAGAACAAAGCCGAGATGCTAGAAAATCTGAAATATCTAGATTATATAGATCATATGGAATGAAGAAGTCAGTGGATTATTTCTCAAAGAAGAAATGACCTTGAACAATTGGGCAATTAAGACTTTCTACGTTGATATTGTTTGCCAAAAGAGAGCGTAAGAAACATACTAGAATGAATTGGTCACAGTTTAGTTTCTACATCATCGAAAAATTATGCGATGTCGCCAATGGAACAACTATTGCTAGCTCTACGTTTTTATGCCACAGGAACATTTCAGTTTGGTGTGCACTATTTTCCATTTTACTTTTCACCATTTTCTACACGTGTTTGCCTTCAACCAATCAAGACTCTGCTTATGAAAGACTTGTTTAATCTCGAATGCAAGATTGTTTTAAAACATTAACTCTAGAGTTATATTTTTATCTGAATACGAAAGAAGAGTAACTCGTAATCTGACTTCAAGTTACATCTAAACTGGAGTTCATCAACTCTCTGTTTAACTCACATTGGTGAATACGGGGGTTAGACTGTTGCATGATGGAAGCTTGTCTTGATGGACTTAAACTGCAGCACACCTGGCTAGGGTGGTGTTGTATTTTCCTTTACTAATATCATACTTGTGTGTTCCGCCAGCCTTACTTTGAGTAATTGTGTCGCGCTGCTGATGTACTCAAGATCACATTTGAATCTATTGTCTACCAGCATAATCTTATAAACACCTGGAACCCTAAGCATTTCGGTGTTGTCCTTTCTGTTTCTGAGGATGTTATAGATAGTGGGAACATGCCCATATGCTAATTTATCACCTCTGTGACAGGCAATTTCTTTATATAAGCTTTTCATGTTGTGGTTATAATCTACAACTATGCAAAGCATGTTGTGAGCATTCCCACTTCATGATACGACATTATTGGGTGTAGGATACTCCTGTTGGAATAGGCGGTCACTAATTTATGAATAAGGTGTTTTTTGTAACCATGTTTTTAGCTATGTCCTCCAGACATTTAAGCTCTTCTAACGTGTCCCTGAAATTTGTACAGTGGGTAAATGCACATTTAGTTAAAGCACAAAAGGCAGATGTATCGATCGCATGAGTTCACAGGTATAAACAATGAAAGTTGTGATGGTTTATGATAAATATTGGTACGAATAACTCTGTTTATAACACTGATATTGAGATGTAAAAAGTATGCCCTTGAATTGCTGGCTTGGTCTAATTTTATGGAAAGTCCATATGGGTTGTTATTCATTTGTTTTATGAAGCTTTCTTTATTTGGTTTTGCCTTCCACATTATAAAAATATCATTGACATACTTTTATATATAATAATATTAGGAAGGAAAGAAAGTAAGACTGTTTTTTCTAATAACCTAAGGACTATCTCACAAAGATCCCCTGATATGGGACTACCCACCAGTACACCTCTTTTTTGTGTTTTGTAATAATATTGAAAAAAAGAAAAATAGCATATGTGCTAGTTCTAAAATATGTTTGTGATGTGCTGGTTCATTGTCTACACTTAACAAAAAATTCCTAAGTGCACAATTATTTTAAAAGAAAAATTTTTTGAGAAAATTCTTTAAAAATTCTTGTTTATAAGTTTTTCAAATTCTTAAAAATGTTCCATTTCCACATTCCAATTTAAAGAATCCTGAAAAATTAAGAATCACTTCTATTTTTGAAGCAATTTATTTAATTTGTTAGAACATGTAAGAAAAAGTATGTATTAATAAATGCAAGAGCAGCTCATTGATTGTATTTTAATTGGATAAAACAGTCAATTTTGACAGATTCCTACTA